TTCTTGTTGCACACCTACTGCACACTTCCATAAGTACAGAAAGTGTGAAGAAAGTATGCAAGAGACTTGGTATTTCAATGAAAGCATGCGGAGAGTGTGCGGTAATCTTAAAATTTGATCAAGAGTGTGCAACAAGTGTGCAGAAAATGTAATTCTTCTGTCATGAGTGTGCAGAAAATGTGCAAGACACTTGGTTTTTCAACAGATGTGTGCAGAAAGCATGCAATAAACTTACAATTTCATCAGGAGTTTGCCATAAGTGTGCAGAAAACTCAATTTTTTCGTCAGGAGTGTGCAACAAGTGTACAGAAAACTTAGAAATTTTAAGTTGTGTGAGTTGAGTATACAACAAGCTTTTAATTTTATCGGGGTATGCTATTTTAGAGTAAAAACCTTATCATTTGATTATTTAATATGTACCAATACAAGATACCTGTATATGCAATGCCATTGACAATTACAGAAACAAAATACTTCGATACACATTTTACTTTATATCCATCTATTAGAAATAATCAGTGCTTATATAAAATTTTAATTATTATCATATATAAGTGGCAAGTACACTATGATTAATAATACACTATTGTGAGCTATAGTGGGTACTTATGTTGCAGGCCAGAGAGAAATCCAGCCAAATTAGTCCAACAAACAAATCAATAACATTATGTAAAGCTAGTTATAAATTGTATTGTTTTAACAAACTATGGTGTTTACTTCACTCAAAGTATGAGAATAAGTCAAGGACAATATAAGCTTAACAACATGTAATAGAAAAATGCCTAATCAGCCCTTAAAACTCATTCACTTAATCACAACTTTTGCAATGCTATGCCCACCATTAAAAAAGATTATTATCAGTATGTATTAAAAACAGTCATGAAATCTAGGGTTGTGGTAAATTAAACATGGCTCCTACTAGTATAATCTTGACTTTGCTAGTTAATTTTCACAAAAAGATAAAAACACAGTAAGTGTATTAGGCTGGATTGAAATTTCACTTTTTAAAACAGCTAAGGTCAAGTAAAATCTGACTATAAGCAAGATTAAAATCTGACTAGATAAGTTTGACTTTCAATATAATAGAAGAAATATGAAGTTAGTAAATATCATCATAAAAATATATATAATGTAATGTAAAAGTAAGTGAACACAAAGGGTATAGTACTGTCCCTCATAAAGGGTGGGAAACGAGGACAAATTAATATTTTTAAAGATACATTTTATTATAAATCATGCTCAATCACACTTTTAGCCTAAGGTTTAACAGTCTACTGATGTTAGAGCATGCCCTACTCCACCAACCACAGATTCAACAACTGTGAATTTCTTTTGTTAGCCTGGCACCTATTATTAGGTCTCTATTCCTGCAGCTATTGTTACACCAATTACAACCACCACCTATTTGGTGTTATCAGATGTGTGGTATCCTGTCTAAGTCTTTGTTTATGAGACAAACAGCAAATGAGTGAAGGCTGTTTACTATCAAGCTAGTTTTAATTCAGGAGCATAGTGGAAGAGTACAGAGTGTAGAAAAATTGGATTGAGGAAGGTATGTATTACAGTAATGCATTGGATCATTTGGGCATCTAATCAAATTGAAAATGAGAAAATTGATCTAATTTGTAGTGTACATTGTAAACATTATATTTATATTACATTAAATAAGTTATAATTTATAATGTATACTTCCCTTTTAACCAACAAAGAAACGAGGATATAGAATGCAATCACTGTTTAGTCTCTTCATTTCTTATAAAACTATGATCAATTCCTCACCAAAATGTTTCTACAAATGCAGTTGAATCTCAAAAAAAATCTCTCTCTTACTGTTTTACTTGAACAAATGGATATTTGTTGAATAATTGTTTATTTCAGGTGATCCTAGAGAGTAGCCAACATTAAGAAGCTGGCATGACAAGACTGGAAGGGACACTTTGCTGAATATCTATAGTTGGTGGCTCATCGAAACTCTCACAAAGTGTACCAAAAAGTACCTTTGTGATAAAGAAGTTACTAGAGAGTTTTTTCAGCCCACAAGAACTGTCAGCAACAGTTTCTTTTGTGAAGGATTCTCTAGTTGAAAGAGCTGTGCAGAATAAGTTTTAAAAGAGAACAACACTAACTGCAAGTTGATTACATCATTTAACAAGTATATGTTGAAAATAAGTGAAAAAGTGAATGCAACCATAAACCCTAAGATTTCAACATAACATAGATGTGTGAGGAATGTATATAAAGTATTCTTCAAAGCAGTTTTAGCACTCTGTTTTTTTTTTAATATCCAAGACATTTCTCTGCCTACCTTTCTACCTATTCTTTATATGAACAATAAACACTTGAACTTGATTTTAGGACTTCTCAAACAGTAATGTGTATATTGATGGTTTTTTGCCCTCCTCATGGATGTTTAAGATTTGGATGTTAAGCATTGTGCACAGTGTGGTAAATTTGTAGGACTTTATGGTATACTCTTTTTTTAGATGGACAGGATGAGTAAAGAAGAGAAATGTGGCAGAAAGACGTAAAGAAAAGAAATATGGACATGGCTTGGATTTTGCTGATTTTGTTCGATTTTTTAATTTGATTAATAAAGCACAATATATGACTGTAATTTCTTGTTTGTTGTTGATAAACAGATTTAACTATATTTCTGTTAGCACGTCTTTAAATGTAACTCAGGACCTGTCTTTGTAGAATTAATATTAACTGATTGAAAAACGAGTGAATAAAATTTCAATTGTGTTATAAAATATTTAAATTAGTGTGCAAGAAAGTATGCAAAAAGTGCGCAGGAGGTGTGCAAGAAGTGCACAAGAGGTGTGCAAAAAGTACGCAGGAGGTGTGCAAGACGTACGCAGGAGGTGTGCAAAAAGTACGCAGAAGGTATGCAAGAAGTACGCAGGAGGTATGCAAGAGGTATGCAAGAAGTGTGCTGGTTGTGGTGTAGGGGATGTGCAGGAAGTGTGCAGGAGATGTGCAAGGAGTGTGCGGGAGGTGCGTATTTTACCATGCAAATGAGGCGTGCTGCGCATCCGCAGAAACCCTTACTGTGAATCTGCTGCGCATCCGCTGAAACAGTGTGCGGGAAGCTTAAAATTTTGCTTAGGGCAGTTAAACGATTTATTCGTTGACGCTCGGTAACTACATGTTCTTAGTGAAGTCTCCAACTCCTAACTCGTCAGCTCCGTACTCCGTCGCTTCCAATCTCCGTCTCTGCTTCCTTCTACACTGCGGTCTGCACCAAAGACAATAAATGCTAACGCAGCAAGAGGCAAATGAACTGAACGGCGATGGACTCGGTCTCCTACAGATACGCAGTTTTAAAAGGCAATCTTTATAGTCTAGCCTTACATTTATAAAGTGGCATTTGGCCAGTTTTACATTTTGTGATCGTGTTATTCTGCGTAGGTGATTCACCTCATTCAGGATAAAATTCCGGCTTATTTGTGGTGCGCACTCGTTTTATTTATCACGCTAGGGGAAATAAAGAATACTGTAAATTGTCAACAGTAGGTGTGTTATTTTATCTTCACCTTTTGACATTCATGTAGTCTTCAGCCTTGCTTTGTCAAACCATCTTCTTCAACATAATCAATTTATTTAATTTACTTATGGTTTTCATTTTTATTTCAGTTTTACCCAATCGAATAGAAACCTTGAACGCCTTGTGTATCAGCTTCACTGATTACCAGACTCTCCATATGTGATATTGGACTGCCCTGAGTGTCAGGACTCTGGAAAGCTAGCTTGCTAACTATTCATAACTTTGCATGGAATAGCTTCTCAGTTTTGCTGATATGGGTTATATATAAAATCAAGATCGAGCTGGCAAAACTGAAATCTAGAACTTAGTGTATATTGGTCAGGCTCCAGAGATACGCACAGGTGACAGCTTTATTTTAATGTCATTTGGCTTCTTACCAGACAAATGAACATCGCGTTTACATCAAATATATCTCTGCTAAGCGGTAAAAGTTAAACTAAAGAAAAGTATATAGATAAATCTTCTTGGTTAAAGTATATAGATAAATCTTCTGGTAAACTCTGTGCTCGTTGATCAGTGCTATTGCCCCCGTCAGAAGTACTGGTTCAGCTGAAACCCGCAGTCAAGCAATTTTCATCATACAGGTAGATGTATGTCTCCTAGACAATAACCGACTATGCATAACATATTAAGCATAAAACAACACAAACAACATATTCAGTGCACACGGACAGAGTTAGCACAGGTGTTTTATTTCAAACCATTGTCATCATTTTCATCGCAAAGGCAGCGTGTGGGGGACGTTATTATTAATCTGTATAAATTAACCCTTTTATCATTAACCTGGAAATCTGGAACTGTGGGCTTTTATTAAACTATATAAAATTTACACGGTACAGTGAAGGTCGGTTATGTGCTTTAATCCAACCTTCTCCTTTTTTTCAGTATTGAAATTTTTATGTATTAAGTGAAACTTAATCAATTAGAACGTTTTATTAAATTTAGAAAAACGCAATTCTAAAAATTTACAACCAAATAATAATAATAATAATAATAATAATAATAATAATAAAGGAAAAAATCACCCAAGAGAACGAGAAAGAAATAGTTGTCCCTAGAAATTAAACTGAGACCTAGTTAAACCCCCAAATAAAAGCAGTGAACAGTCTAATTTAATGGGACGTCAAGTGGCTGTCGATTGCATCGACTTCTCGGCAGAGGCCTTCTGATAAGAACGGGAGACGCTGACACACTTAAATGTTTGTGCTTGTCACGTCGCCCAACTGATAACATTCCAGAGAATTGGGACATTTATGCGGACCTATGGCGTGTGTGGGTTTTAGTTTTATATGATATTTTAAATTATATTTTATACAAAGTGTGCCCATTATTCAGTGACATCTATAAATATTTTAGCTAATTTTCTTTATGCCAACTTGTCAAATTAAATTGCTTTTTGATGTACTAATTAAGAATAATTATTCGCGAAATCATTACTATAAAAAAAACCCGGAAGCATAGTTTTGCTGTTACTGTTTGCTGTGCTTGATCGCGCTTCGATTTTCGTGATTAACAACGTTTTACAGAAATAGCACAAGTTTGAAGCGTTGTTTTTTAAATTGATGTTGAATATTTTACCTATTGTATTCTTTATTTAACTAATGGACTTCTACGGGAAGAACGAGGTAGGTGATTACATGTTTAAAAACGAAAGTGCTCGCCCATCGCCTCTGACTACGGAAATGACAATTAAGATACATGTGTGTACTGCAAGCATTGTGAAATATGAGAAGCTTTTTTGCTTTACTGCATATGTAAAAAGATAACAAACAGACCACCCAAACCATTTTTTAAATAAACATTATCCTTTAAAGCTTTGGCCTTAATTACTAATACCGATAACTGCATGGCTATATTGTTGTTGTTGGTAAACTGTGCGATTTTTAAAGGTAGCGGTAGTTATTTGTATGTACGTATGGTAATACAGCCAGGTATTGTCCAGATTACTAGAGAAGGAGAGATCATTAATGATCTGAGCAGTAGTGTCTTCTGTAGCATATTACATCATGCATGGACCAATTTCTTTAGGATCCAGTAGGAATTTTCATAAGGGGCAGTACTTTTGTGAAGTTATAGTATAAATAACTACATACTGTACCTGAACCACATTAGTATGTGCATATGAATAAGACAATTTTTGTCTAATCATCTTTTACAAGGATAAATTCAATAAATAAATTCAACTTTGACCTGTATCCTAGGGCCATGTGTAAACACTTAATATTTTGACCCCCTTTTAAATAAAGTTTATTATTATTATTATTATTATTATTATTATCCCACCGCCTCTGCTTGTATCAACCAATGTAGTTTGAATTGAAAGCAGCACTAAATGTTTACCAGTAGTTCAGAAAAAAAAAACTCTTTCAGCTAATTTGTCTATATACCTCAGTAGGTACATGTACATCAGACAATTTGTGTCTAACCATCTTTTACAAGGATAATTTCAACTTTGACCTGTGTCTTGGGCGATGTGTAATATAATATTTTTTACCCTCTTTAGATTAAGTTTATTATTATTATTATTATTATTATTATTATTATTATTATTATTATCCTACAGCCTCTGCTTGTATTAACCAATGTAGTTTGAATTGAAAGCAGCACTAAATGTTTACCATGCAGCTAATTTGTCAATATATAATTGGTATATGGAATTTTGACACTTTAAATATCATGCATTCATTGGAAATGACAAAATCTATCTTACATTTCAGTTAAGGCAGGAAGATATGTACTGGTAGAAGTGACAGTAACCATGGCAACAGCAAGGTCCAACCCTGACCAGGAGAATTTTTTTCGTATGACTGTTTTAATTGTAGATAATGCCTTAAACGTTCTGCAAGATGTTCTTCAGAAAGAGCTTAGAACAGAGTATCCCAGTTTATTTGACCCGGGGACTGGGTTGTTATGTGGGGTGCTTAGTAATGCATCTGTCAGGGCAACACTGTTTGGATTATCATCAAAAGTGTTCAATTACCACCAACAAAACCAGCTGTATCCTTATGGAAACCCCTCCACATCAGTGACTGTTGGTGATTTAGACATCACACTGACTGTGCTTTTGCTGAGAAACATCACAGCATTGGATCCGTGTCCTCGGTCGAAAGTATGGGACAACCCCCCCGACACAGATACATCAACAGAAGCCAAGATTGGGCGAGTTAAAAGATATCGAAATATTGTGTATGGCCATGCTAACAAGGCAGCAATTAGTGATCAAGATTTTAGGGCACATTTCTCAGGGCTCAAGTCCAACCTCCTGGCTCTCTCTAGTATGTACACCGATGAGGAATATGATGCCATCTTGTCTAAACCTCTTGATGTTGCTTTACTGGAGAGAAACCAGAGCATTCTGAAAGAATGGTATAATTATGACAAATGTGTGATAGATGAGTTGTTAAGCATGAAAGCTACAATGAAGGAAATTCCTGAACAAATCATACATGAATTGAAAGAAGGTGAAACAAAGCTGCAGGACCATGTGGAACAGGTTCAAAAAAGAAGTGAAAACACTATTCTAAGGAAGATGGACAGTGCCACTCAGAATATATGTAAACAACTTGGGGAAATCTCTCAAAAAGTCACAGAGATGGACAAAGGTCACTCAGAGCTGAAGGACACATTTAGGCAGACACAGAAGCTCATGGAAGAGGTCAAAGATGCTCAGCTTGGAAAAGAAAGTGAAGAACTTGCATCTTTAAGATCAACACAAGGTCTGCAGCTCCAAATGACACAAGGTATGACTATATGTATTGTATCGTTTAAACATTTTCTTCAATATCAGTAAAATATATACACGTTGGATTGTTTGTGGTTTACATTCTGAATCAGGAACAACTCCATCTGTGAGCTTTTCTTGGATGTAAATGAGTTTGAAATGATGGTATTAGCAACATAACGCTGCAGATAGAATACAACTTGAGGCCTTCTTTTTTGTTTTCAGATATGCAAGAAAAGGTTCAGACAACTTGTGACGGGGACCGAAATACACCAGAGTTTGAGAAAATTCCAGGTGGTCAACTCAAGCTTAAAAATCCACATGAGTATTTTATGAAAATTTTTAACTTAATTTTTGCATATAATTATAAAAACACTGAGGTGTATTATGCAAGTTATAACTCAAGAGAATGCAATTGAAAGATTTCACCATGCAGCTGGCTTTGTTACATTTTTCTTCTGTTGAGTGCTTCTACAAAGCACCTACCAAAAAGTGTACGGTAATTATATGCCAAATAGTTCGACCATTGCATTCAATCCGACCAAGATTATTTTCTAAATTTATTTTTCTGGGCTGAAACATTATGCGACATAATTATTTTCTTGTTCTGATTGTATGACCATATCGTCGGCAAGACGCAAGCAATAAATGCTGCATACCCATTGCCAGTTGTTGTGCTTTCAATGGCTCAATGAGGAAAAAACAATTGAACTCAAGATCTTATCTGGAAACGACCCGTACCTGTCATTACTTTTGTGCCCATTGACAATAATAATAATAATGCCAAAAGATGAACAGTTTGTGCTAATTTAGCAGACTTCCCTCCGTTGCCTGATAGGACCTGTCGCTGACGGGAGGGCATTTTGGAGAATAAAAAGGTCTGCCCTGGGTTAAAATTTGATCTGGGTACACGTTTTTTCCTTGGTAAAAACACCACTTTTTGTACCAAGCCAGAACCTTCACGTATCGACAGTGGATTGGATATGTCGCAAAGCACCTTCATATAAATCATATAACGTTGATAGCAATAAAAAGTTTTGGGAGAATAAGTGACTTAATTATTTTCAAGTTCGCACGTCCACCATACTAGCTAAAAACGATTGGTTATCGTCTTTGAAAGTATGGCAAAATATTTTAATGTGTTCAATTACAATGGGGGTACTTTCGTGTGAAATGGGGTGGATTTGTTTTATTATAACAAATAATTCTGTGTTTTCAAACATTGCTGTGTATTTTCAACTTTTAAATTCTTATCCGAAAATAACATTAGAGCAGCGTTTAAATCTGGGTCACAGACATACCAGCCTGTTTTGCAGCTGTGCATTATGGAAAAGAAAGCTCTCAGAAAAGCACTGTCATGTTTTTTGGGTCATCTCAGGGATCATTTATTGAACACACACTAGAGAAAAAACTGTTTGTCGCAAATTTTAATGGGCGCAGAAAACGGGTTGATGTGCATTACCATCGTTTCTGTTTTCTCAGTACAAAGTATTATGTCCCATACACGTGAACTATATAAACCATTCAATTTCGGGATTTAAATACTTTAAATACACTCTTCTTTTCATAAAGCAACGGTGTGAAAGGAAATCTGTCAATTAGACATGTAATCACAGATGTTAAGATCCAACCAGACTCGCACAACAGCGAAACCACAGTTAGCGTGTAGTTTCCTTTCCCCATTCAGATTCGGCCAACGGACTTAGCATAAATAGTGGAGATTTCATTGATGACGTAATGACCTGGTCACATGAATATTAAATGAGACTAATTAAATTAGCATTATCTGGTCACCACCTTTTGTCGTTTAACTCAAGAAAAACAATTTCATGATATCGCTGTTCATGTGCCGGTGTGAACGGAATGCAGGTCCTACGGACCACCGATCTGTAGGATAAGTAGTCCTAATGGGACCTGTATTCCTGTCATAAATATGGATAGGACTTCTATTCCTGGCGGACCTGCATTCCGTTCACAACCGGTGTGGCAGGAGTGCACGTCCTAGTAACGCAAGTCCGCCCGGACACTAAGTCCTGGAAATGCAAGAAATGCATTGCTAAGAATGGAAGTCCTAGGACATACGTTACTAGGATTCAATGTCCGTAGGACAAAGGCTCCCAATTAATGTAAGTCCTATGTGTAGTAATGCACGTCCTAATGGGAAGTGCGTTCCTGACATTTTTGTAACGCATGTCTTATATAGGTTACACCGAGAAATGACATGAAGAAATATATATAGAGACATCCTTGTTTTAAAGATATAATAAACGTTTACTTTATTCTATTTATATGCCATTTTATCTTTATATTTTACAATGTTTTTATATATTTTTAAGAAAATAAGGCACCATCCAGAGGCATTCCTTATTTTCATCCTTTGAGGTATATGTACAGTGTATATATGTTCATGTCCGTTTCTACTGGAGTGTACCCTCTGTGTTTTGCGTCAAAATTCTTATTTTGTATCTCTCTCTTTTTCAAAACCTTATTCCTAAAAGAAGAATCACACAAAACGCGGGATCTCCGTTCTTAGATTTATTTTTCGGTTTACACTCGCAGAAATTGAAAAATAACCTAAAACTCGATGGAAATTTGCTCTTGGAAGGTATGGGCCAGGAACCTACAGGTAAGTCCCTGTAGGACTACTATTCCCAAGTTATGTTAGTCCTACGGACCTCGGTTCCTGAGGACTTGGATTACTGTTACACCGGTGCGTCTCTCTCGCGTAGTGACTAGACAGTGCAACAATGTGAATCCAAAACAGTATCTTAAAACAATCCGATGATCTGATGAGTTCGAATCCCTATAAGACTGAAGTTGCGTTTTTAACTTTTGTGTGATTTTTATGTCTTTGTCATGTTTGCTGGTCATTTTACTTTGCCACGTCGGATAATTTTGATTGGTAACAGCTGCCACGCGCTTTCTTGCACTACTTTAAATACGTTCATATTCTGATACCACACCCTCACTTGACTTTCGATATAGAAGGGACGAGCAGCACCTGTTCTAGACCCAACATAGAGGTTATATTTCAGTATCTTCAAAAGGGCACAACACCGACCCAGAAAAGAGTAATTCGAAGAACTAGCAAGTCGAATTATAAATTATAAGCTTCCATTTACAGTTACTTTTTATAATGTTCAAAATACACACAATTTCCGTTTACAGAGGCTATATAAGCTTACACACAGATATATATTCCCAGGAATGTAAGTCCGTCAGACGTATGCTCCTGGTATAGGTGTCCGGGGGACTACAATTTCTGGGATTTTAGGTCCGGAGGACTTATATCTCTAGAATTTTGGGTCAGATTTAAAATGGAGGATAAAACGTGTTTCAAACACATGTAAAGCGTTAATTGCGGCTTATCTTGCGTGGCACTTCGGGATAATGCAATACTTGCATTTTTGCATATGTCCCAAACAATCCGACGATTTCAATTTTTTTTATTACTGTAGTTAGTCAAATCGACCAAAATGATGTTTCTTTGAAATTAATTAATTAATCTTGGTCGAACTGTTTGGTACATTACCTACCATTTGCACATTCATATTGTGAAGTAGGGGAAAAGTTCTGCAACTATGTCGTAGGTTACTTTGTGCCTAAAAATAATTAATTTCAAATTCCAGGCTCATTGGATGTTACTGTCCATATAAGCATCAATCATGCAAGAATGCAGGCAGTCAAGTCATCATCCACCTTCTCCAGTAGTCAGAAAACACCAAGTCCAGAGGACACTCAGCCAGACAGGGAAGCTGTACCCTCAATGACAAGTGGTGGAAGAGAGAGAGACCAGATCACTGGTATAGCAGCTCATCTGGAAGGTGAGCCAAGCAAGAACATTACGCAGACAGTGAACATGGGAAACTCTGATGAACCACCAACTACTTCAGTTGTACCTAGACCTCCCCCAGAAGATACCACCCCTCTTTGTGAAGCCAAAGAAAGAAGCTTTATCAAAATATGTGAACAGTTAATGTCGCAGGCCTTTACCCTTGAAGACAGTGAAAGAGCAGTAAAGTTGATGGAGAGATGCCATGCAATGTTTTATGATATAAAGCACCAGTGTTTTATCATCCGCTTGGTTTGTCCGTCAGTGCACTCACTGGACCAGCTGTGGCAAAGTTATCGCTGCGGTGAGCTACAGGCTGCTGTAGAGGATAGTTTTGTCAGCATCAAGACCCTCGAGAATTTGGGCCTGAGCCGAAGCGACATTAATCTGTGGGTTGAAATGGATGATGATGATTACAATGAATGTAGGAAATACATAAAGGAAAAGACAGAGTTAAAAGGTTTCTATTTTTTTTAATCTTCCTCTGAAAATTTATGTATATATATGATATCAGATGAGAGATACTCCTTTGTCTTGTATACTTGTCTGCTTGCTCTATAATATAATGTCAGTAATTCAAGTTGGCCTCTTGTTTTTTACTTATTTATGTTTTATTTTTGATTAAAATATATACTAAAAGAAACCCACACACACAGTCAAACAAACACACAGGCACTCTCACAATGAATTTAAAGACTTTTTTAAATCAGCAACAGGTCTAACGAATTAGTTATGAAGTCATGATAATTCATGATGAAAAGATTATATTTTTTATGTTTAAAACCCCTTTACTTTTGTTTCAACAAATTATAGCAATGATTTACGAAGACTTGAAGATGACAGTCCATAAAGGTCCATATGGCAGTGCAGAGCAGACTATACACGGCATACGCCGAGCCCTGATGGCAGCTTTCAGTCTACGGAAAGAAGACATTCTGATCAAATGGTGGGACTATGGACGTCCTGGGGACTGTGCTGCCATATGTTATGGCATACAACCTCATCACGTGGGTCACATTGAAGACAATATCCGAGATTTACCAATAGATGTCATCCTTGAACTGGGAGTAATGACCATCAATATCGGCACACACACCTTAAGAGTAGCAGGTCAGATATTTTACATTTATTTGCAACCTGAAATAAATAATACTAAATTGGTATGTCCAATAAACTATTGAACTTAAAACACTTTTTAAATAACATATTCAAGAGCTGCATTAGATTAAATTTTTGGATGTAGATGGTAAAATCATTGAATTTACTGAAAAGGGAATAAAAGTCCTTGAGGGTTTCACTGTTCTCAGTTTTGGCACTTTGAATATCTGGGCATTTCATAATTGATAAAATGTTCAATCCATGTTGGTAAAAGGTGGTGAATTTCGTGCTCACATGCGTACATTTTTTGGTGCATTTTTTACACCACTCATTGCACCAACCTTGTAGAGGTAGGGTATTGGTTGTTTGAAGTGTTTCTTGGAATGGATTTCCAGGATACAATATTAAAAAAAATATTTTAATGGATTCTTACTTATTTGCTGGGACATCTCTAAACATGTACTCATCAAAAGACCTCCGGATTTCCATTCCTGTCACACCGGCTCGTTTGAGAAGAGTAAATAAAGTGTATCCATTGAGACAGTCCACTGAGACGGGTAGATCAGGTGTACTTAGGCCTATTTATCTCAGGATAGGTCATGCCTAAATGTAAGGCTTAAAAAGACTGCAGTTTTACCCTTACAATTTATTTGGTTATATATATATGGCCTAACTTTGAGAAGTCATATACAGTTTCTTAGGATTTCTTAAAATTTGTCATTTTGTTGTTGGTTGACCATTCGTCTGTTTCATTTGATGCTGCTTTTATGATGTCAGGTGATGAGAAGGTATCTTGTGTTGTAACCGGTGGTATCGCTGCTCTGATCATCTAGTTTCCATTTCTTCCCACCTTCAAAAATACATATGAAGATAGGAGGCATGTCAAATCATTGCTTGAAACTGTTAAGTACATTGTAACAAATCGCTCCTCTTTAGTGATCAATAGGGGTTTCACGGTTCTTTGTCTCAGGCCAAAGTATCCTTTGCTCCCCTGCTTTCATTTCATCAACCTTCTGGATTCTCTGCACCACCTGTGCATTTCACATGTCCTAAAGAATTCACATGGTTGGTTTTTTTTCTGTGATCTAACTTGTAGTGGTTCCAGCTACTTATAAAACCCTTTCATCTGACAAATTTTCATAACTTTGAAAAAGCTCACAAGGTTTTTTGTCATTACTTCCTGAAATGTGATATTTGAACAAACATTACCTGTTTACTTTCTGTACTTAACATATTGGAGGGGAAGGTTGGGTGGAACTTCTAAAAGTTTTAGTCTGACCCGTCTTGTATGGCTCTACCGGCAACTTATGCTGTAGGCTCTGTAGGCAATGCATTCTGTAGGCAGATACAAGTTACTGTTACTATTTCCTATCCAAGAATACAAGGGATTTTGTTCTCAGCTCTTGGAATTAGGTCACATATAATCTCAACTTGACCACCCTTTGATATAGTCTCTGTCAGTTTATTCACCTAGGCATGACACTGTACACAAGGCACCCTTGTCGATATTGTTGAAAATTAAATGCTGCATGTATCCCCTAAACCAATAGAATTATGGGAAAAGTTAATATAGAAATCTGACTGAAAGTCATATGTGGATATTGTATACTTGTCTTGGGCTTGATCTTTGAACTTTTGGATTAACTTTAAGGTCAAGTGGCCAAAATGCTGATTGCACTATAACCCAACTTTGTGGATACCTAATACCTTGGCAGTGTTGCACCTTGCTCTAGGCTGAAAGGCAGCCTCCCAAACGTGACCTGTCAATGGTTTGTTTGCTTCTTACGATTAACAATTTAATGAATTTGAAGGGAGGTTTTTCAAGTTGTTTTCGTGAATTTCTCAAACGCATATCAGTTTGTGATCCATGCTTGTCAACACCCCGGATCCACTAACCTCTAAAGGATGAGTGCGAATAACCATTGGCAAAGTGCCCATTGTCAAAATTTAAAAATAATTTGCTATTATTAAGTTTATGCATATATTTGTTGCACGGAAAAAATATTATTTGGTTTGAGGTATTGTATCTTAGTATTTTTAATGAGTTATATGTGGGGGAGGGAGTAGCTGGATTTACCTGTTGTATGCAGTCTAATGAATCAGAGCAACTTGTTTCAGCATTTATATTACATAAACGATTTTTTCTAATGAAATTTGTCTTGTGATGTAAAAAAAAGAGTTATATGTTAAATAATTGTGGTGTTGCACAAGTAAATGGGAAAGTAATTATTGTCTTTTTTAATCCTAGAGAAGAAAGGGAGGGGTGGTATATTACGGTATTTTCTCACAGAAGCCATCACTAATTTCACTTAACTGTATAAAAGTCTAGTTACTAGAAAAACTTGTTTCAGCGTATTTATTGATTTTATATAACTTCTCACAGACCAGCATTTGTTGGTCTAAATAATTGTATTTTTAACCAATACACATTTTGTACAAGGCTCTAAGGAATAGTAAAAAATGCTAAAAGCAAAAGGCTGTTACAGTACGTAACAACAACAAAAAAACCATGTGTAAAAGCACTCTAAACAGCTATTTGGAATGTTTCCATAAACCATAAAATAAACAAGGTATAAATTGTACCAAAATAATGATAAGGTATAACTAAAAACTAAATGAAAATATAGTACACATAATAACAGTTATGACCAATAATCTGTATGACAATGAAATTAAATCACCTAAAAAGTACTTCATATATGATTGTGTATGTGATAAAGACCTTGTGTAGAATGCAATGCATGAGTTATTTTATACAAAATACAGTATACAAATATGAGTATAAAATGTATAATGAAACAATGGATAATTAATCAGATGTGCTGTCCGAAACACTTTTTGTCTTGCTAATACTGTCACCACTTGATGTTGGTAAATGTGAGGTATCCAAACAGCCTTCTCCACAATATAATTTTCGATTGTATTCCTGCCTCATGGCAAACCCCAAATACCACAGGACTGAAGTGATATGTGCACAACTTCCAACTGTCTTGGAACCAGCTTTACACTGTCAGTACCAGCGACTGATGGGTCTAGTTTTTCTATGGGAGGTCTGAATCCATAATGTGTACTGGTGGCTTAATGTGTGTCTTAATTAACTATTTTGGCTCTGATTAAATCGGGTGCATCCTCGCATACACTGATTTCAAACTGGCCATCTAGCAGATGCTCATCAGTATATCGGCTAGCTTGCTTTATCTGGTAAACTTCTGGTATTTATTATAGGCTGGTGGTCTCTTGTATGGACTATTTACCAAGTCAATAGGTTTTCACTGATTTCCTTGACAAATAAAGTCATTCATAGCATTTTGGTGAAAAAAAAAGAAGAAAAAAACTCTCCAAAGCTATTATGAAAAGTGCTGGTGTGGAGGATAAGGTCATAAGTAACAAAACAAGGGTGTGTGTGATGAAGACTTTTATTTTACTTTTTATGCAAAATAGACATAAAAGGGGACATTTACACAACAATTTTGGTTGTACAAAATGTACTTTTATGCCCCTTAGAGGGGGTTGTGTCAAGCCACCCTTATGTGTAGATGTCTATTACAGCATGGGTCTCTATATAAAGTAGGAGCCACCATAATGTTCATCTGCTATTATAATAATTAATATAACTTTGAATATCTGAAGCACATTTTACATTTAATCTTTCTTAATTCTAAGAAATAAGAATGAAAGTAATATATACGTACTGTATTTGGACTCTATTTCCTATCCATATTTCCCCTTTTATTTATTTATTTATTTATTTATTTATTTATTTATTTATATATTTTTTAATAGCATGCATTACATGAAAATTACTTTTCTTTTTTTTTGGGGGCTGTAATTGAAAAAAAATTACTGACTCTAACCCCTATTTTCTTTTCAATGACCTACATTTTATTTTGGGTTGTTCTTTTTGTACAAAAGTTTCATTGTATCTGCCTAGCCATCCTATGTAAGCATGTAGCGGCAGGGGCGTCTCGATAGTCCGAAGGTTCATTGGTCCGAAAAGTGGTAACATTTTCATCGATTTTTTAATCAAGGGTTCATTGGTCCGAAGGTTCTGTAGTGAATATTCGGACCAATGAACCTTCGGACTGTTGAACCTTCGGACTATTGCTACGGCCCCGTAGCAGCTACCTCATGGCAGGAATAAACATGGCCGCCTGCTAGCTTATGGACTGAAAATGTCCCTATTTAGTTTGAGTACATATCGAGCCCAACCCTCAGACAAGCTGATTTTCACATATATCTAACCTTATATTCATGTCTTTTCGACCGTGAATAATTAGCTTGTCTGAGGCAGGGGCTCATATAAAAAAATGAACATCTTTTATCCTCAAGTCACTGTAAGATTCTTCTTTCAATCAGCACTACATGTACAAATAAAGCAATCAAAATATTGCTCACAAACAATGATTGGCCACATATTGCCTTACTTTTTTACATGGGCACCTTCTGTACCCCATTACAAAATTTCACAGTTGTCACCCCACTATAACTAAAGATATGTAGCATTGCAATTCAGACCCCCCCTAAAACACACATTTTCATGAATATTTGACAAGGTCATTTTGACATTAATTTTTTATATTTCAAATTCAATAAAAATTGTTTAAGTGAATCATAAAAGTGTAAGACCCCAACTTTAATTTGGCATCAATTTTTTCCATTCATTCACAATTTATTTTTCATGTACAAAGGTGGGCACTTTTACCCCCTTATTCGCACTCATCCTTTAGACTCAAAACTCCGAATATATCACACTTTTCTACTTTTCCTGGTGTATGCAAATTTAGTGACTCCATTCACAAAAATGGGCCGTATTGGAGGCCAACTTAGATTTTGCTTGTTTCCCGAACAAACGGACACATTTTCAAACAGGAAACAAGCAGAAATGAGGTTCTAAACTACAATAATCAATAATAAAATCTTTGCCTGACGGGGGTAGGGGGTGGAAGGTGCAACCAAATCCTTAAATAAGGCCCTTTTTCATTTTGGCTCATAGACTACTGTGACATAATTGCTTTCTCAAGTTTATTGATTGAGGGTAGAGATTGCAGTAAACAATAAAGAGAAAATGGGAAAGACAGTATCTTATTGGGTATTTGTGCGAGTACCGTTCTGAACATTGTACAGGCACGTTGTTGTCATGGGAAAAAAGTTTACTCCAAAAGAAACCCAGATAGTGAAAATTAAAACCGCTGATGTGTAAACGCTCTTGATATTGTAATAATTGCTCTAATCATCAGACTTCTTCAATTAACATTTCAATGAACAGCAAACCCAACATGAGCAAGGACGCAGTTCCATGATCAATGTTACTGCAAAACAAACACTGTTTTGTAGATATGATGATCAAAGTTTATTATAGTGAATGTGGAGCGCTTTGGTTACTCGTCCATGAACAGTGCAGCTTACGCATACGGTCCAAAACTACAAAAAATATAAATAAATAAACAACATTAAAGAAATGAATTGTGAATATAGCATATAATTAAGTAGAATGTAACAAATAAGAGATGAATTAATGCTTACTTTTAACGCCCCTGCTTATACATGTAGTGCATAACGTGTCCACATGTGCCGTTCAATCGTTCATAGCATTGTTCATTGGGTCATATAATAAGTGCGCATTACCACTCTGTGCACATCCGGTGCATTTACATTCCGGCCCCTTGAATACAGTTATTGTATTCAATATCAAAGTTAATGACAGATAACATGATAATAATTACGTAAATAAAAAAAATATACATAGTACTGTTAAGTAGGTTTAATTCATTCCATTATAAATGTACATAAAGCAGCATATAAATTCTACACATTTCGTTCCTCAACAGGAACAATAACCACCACCCGAGTCACGGGTCTCCGAAGTTCTGTGTTTTGAGTTTTCAACTTCATCTCATCATCTCTCATCTCACTAACCCACTACTTTTGTCTTGTTCAGTTGCAGAAACACGACCCATTTTCCAATAATTTCGTGGCATGGAGTCACCTTTTATTAGCACAACATCACCCAGTGTTAAGTTTCGTTTAGGTTTTCCCCATTTTTGACGTTGTTGAAGCGTTAACAAATATTCGCGTTTCCAGCGACCCCAGAAAACATTTGCAAGGTATTGGACGCGACGCTATCGCTTTCTCGAGTATACATCTGACCTCTGAAAGTTTCCTGGGGGTGGGCATGTGACCGAAGACTTAGTTGTTAATAAGTGGTTGGGAGTTAACGGTTCTGCGTCGTCCGGAGAATCAGAAAGATGTGAGAGGTCTGGAATTTATTATTGCCTCTACTTCACACATCAGTGTGTGAAATGATTCCTCGTCCATTCGACTACCAAACTCTTTTGATAACTGACTCAACACCTTCCGTATCGTGCGGATTTGTCGCTCCCAGATACCTCCAAAGTGACTGGCTGCTGGAAGGTTAAATACCCACGTGATCTTATATTTCATCAATTTGATTTTGATAGCGTCGTTGTCCATTTCTTTCAGAGCATTTCGAAGTTCTCGTTCAGTCCTTACGGAATTTGTCCCGTTGTCTGATCGTATTTGTTTTACGTTACCGCGACGTGCTATAAATCGTCGTAAGGCGTGTAAAAAACTGTCAGTGTCCAAAGATCTAGCTGTTTCCAAGTGTATGGCTCTACTCGATAAACATGTAAATATCACCCTGTAATGTTTCATTTCTTTACGACCATTTTTGATGAAGAATGGACCAAAGAAATTTATGCCAGTGTATGTAAACGGGGGTTCTTCACTTCTACGATCTGTAGGTAAATCAGTCATTTTTGATCCGCAAGTGGGGCTCTCATCTTTCTGCACGTTATACACTGATAAATCATTTTTTTTTTAACAGCTGAATTCCCATGAATCACCCAGTATGATTCTCTCACTTGCGATAAAATATGATTTCTCCCGGCATGTGCTAATTTTTCATGAACATCTCGCAGAATATTTTCAGTCACATGGCATCTTTTTGGCAAAAGTAGAGGATGTTTTGTGTAAAGTGGAAGATTCAGACCTGTAATATGTACCTCTAAATTAAAGCATGAACTTCACGAAGTGTCTGTGATGAATTTTTATGAGTCTGATATGTTTGCTGACTTGCATGAAATTCGGCCTACTTGTGTTGTCACTTCTGTTTTATGTGTTTGTATATGCACTTTATGTGTGAAACTGACCGCAAATGCAATCCACATCCTTTTCACGGAGCGAAATGCTCTCTCAATTCATGAGGCAGTAGCAGAAGAAAAAAGCACAAATTCTGTGAAAGAAGCACAAATTCTGAACATGACCAAATTGAAATAGCAAAAACGAACTACAAATTTGCTGATGTAGTACAAGACATGGGTGAGTACACAGAAGCACTTATATATTACAAAAAAAAAAAAGAAAAAAAGGAAAAAGATTCTGGAAATGAGAGAAGAGCTGCTAGGCTCCAAAAACACTGATAGTGCTGCCACATACGCCAGAATAGGTTTTGTATTGCAAGCCATGGGTGATTACAACGAGGCACTTGACTATCACCAAATTGCTTGGGTGTGAGAGAAGAGCTGCTAAGTCCCAAACACATTGATACTGCAACCTCATGCAATAATATTGGTATTGTACTGCAAGACATGGGTGAGTACAAAGAGGCACTTGAATATCGCAAAAAATGCCTTGACGTGAGAGAAGAGCTACTAGGTCCCAAACACCTTGATACTGCAACCTCATACAATAATATTGGTACTGTACTGCAAGACATGGGTGAGTACAAAGGAACTTGCCTATCAAAAAATATGCTTAGATGTGAGAGAAGAGCTACTAGGTCCTAAATACCCTGATACCACAACCTCATACAATAATATTGGTAGTATACTGCAACCTCATAGGTTTTGTACTGCAAAACATACTCATACCTCATCCTGCTACTTCTTCCTTTCTGGATTGATGAAGGTAATCTTTTAACTTAATGATTTTTGTTCTCTGTGTACGGCGGAAGGTTTTACAGTAGTCTGGGCAGGGAATGCCCGCACGAAAACGAAGTAGATACTCCGGCGCAGTAGACTACTGCAATCATACTGCAAACATGCTTCAAATCTGCTTCGATTTGGGAGCTAATTAGCATATTTGAAACATGCTTCTATTATGCTGCTTATCTACTGCATTAATGCTCCTCCTCTGTGCAACCCTATGTACATTTTGAAGAATTGCAGTAGGCTATACTGCATTTCTACTGCAAATATGCTCCACACCACTACTGCGTTTCAAGGCTGCCATTCAAGGCTACGGTATTTTTTTAATCAGCTCAAAAATTGCATTATTGATTTGCTAGATGCAGGAAAACCTCATTTTGGTACATGTATCTGGATGATAATAAATTATAAAGGATCACAAAACCCTTAACCCCTTTTTGCCGCGAAGATATGGTGTCAGTGCAATTCACAGTCATCTAATACTTGTACTCCAAGCTGTCTTCATCCAATACATCTTCATCTTCCCCAAGGAATTTAAACAAGGCACTGTTATCTTGAATTAGTAGCGACTGAATCACAACTTCCTCACTTTGATGTAAAGGATGAATGAAGTTTTAGGTTTACCCATGATGAGTTTGAGTGTCACTTCGACACAAATCCCACTCGTGAAGTCTTTCTTTCATTTGGGAGGTATTAGAGTGTGGCTTTTGAGATGCCTGTGCACGTAAAACCTTCAACTGACTGATGGTTTAGGTCCTTGCGCAGCTGTTACAATACCGTGTATTTTAATTATTGTAATTCTGTTTTATTGTGAATAACTAGAAAGCAAATTGCCGTGGTTAAAATACAAAACGTGTGCTTTTGCGGTCTGATCCATTTACATGTAGACGTTCATCATTGCAGGGGCAGAAAAGCTACAGGATGAAGATGAATCGAAATACCAATTTATTGAAGCAGAGGAACTCAAAGAGTTTGAAGCTTACTGTGAACAAAATGGCCTCGAAAATATCGTAGACTATATGACAAACAAGATAAAAGGAGTCGAAAACGTTCCTGTGAAAATTGCTGTGACTGGAACAGTCGGTACTGGGAAATCAACATTCATCAACACATTCCGAGGTCTTACTTCTGAAGATGATGATGCAGCGCCTGTCGGAGTATTTGAGTCTGAGGCCACTCAGGTCCCCAAGGAGTACCACCATCCAAAAAATAAAAACGTTACCCTGTGGGACTTACCTGAAATTGGGACGCCCAAATTTAACAGAGAAATCTACGAAGAAATGATACATTTTGGTTCATATGACTTTTTCCTTATCTTTATCGGCAACCGTATTTTTGAACACCATGTATGGCTTGCTGAAAAAGCTAAGCTTTGGTGTAAGAAATATTTCATTGTCAGGACGCATATTGATGCCGATATGGAAATAGACAAACTAGATCACCCGCGAACACATGACGCCTCGCAATTACTGAAGAAAATCCGCGAAGAAATTAAAATGCTGCTTGAAAAATGTGGTGTCAATCCAGAGGACGGTGTTTATCTCATATCTACACTCCTCTGCCATGTAGACCAGTGGGATTACCGAAAACTCGAACATGATCTGTTGCATGAGCTGCCTCGTGAACAACGCGAAGTGCTGGCATTGTCTCTGAGCAATCTCTCCGAAAATTTGATCAAAGCAAAGTGTAAGATACTTCGAAGTCGTGTTTGGAAAAAGGCTATCCTTTTGGCAGTGGAGGGGTTTGTCCCATCTCGATTAAGGGGCATCATGCCACAGAAGGTTATAGACTATTTTATCAAAGAAGTGATTAGTTATAGAAACGCTCTGGGTCTAGACGAGGAATCCTTGAGGCGTCTTTCGCAAAGAACTGGCCTAGAACTGGAAAGACTTATTTTAATGGCAACTGAAAAAATCGAACTGCCATTTACAAAATTTAATTTGGGGGCATTGATGAGCCTCTTGGCTGTACGTCAAGCTATTACACCTGCATTGCCTGTAGTTGGATTGCCTGTCACATTAGGCCTTGTACATTATGAAGCATACAAGTCAGCCAACGAGTTGCTGCACGAAATTTTGGATCGTCTTGAATCCGCTTCACTCCAAGTTCTCAAGGTGACTTTGTCCTCTGCTCCACACAGAGAAGTTCTGTACGTCAGAATACAAGGTAGGGACGATGAAGCGTCCTCTGATCCAGACAGAGAGGTTCTGTACGACAGAAGACAAGTTTGAGACAACAAAGCCTGACATTGTGAGACACACTGCAATTCGTTCATAAAGACTAAAATCAGCCATTCCATGTACAGATAGTCCAAATTTCAATCAATTTCAATGAACAAAAATTCCATGGGTTTTTTTTCTTGAGAAATGTATTTTGACTATAAAGATGAAACGGCTAACATGCACCAGTGACAAGTAATTTTGTTTTCATTTTGATTTTGTTATACAGTATCGTTGTAAAGTAAATGACTTACACTTTCAGTTATTGTAGAAAATATTTAAAACGGAATCAGATAAGTTAAAGAATAGGGAGTTTTTGAATCTAAGCAATTTTGGCAACAAGTGAACAGGTAGGTCCTCGTAAAAACAAAACCATTCCATTAGAAGTTTATGTTGATGGAAAAGTTACCATTGATATAGACACTGTAATAAATAAATGCAGGGATGATTTCCAAATACTGTACATTAACTAGGGGAATAATGAGCCTAGAAGAGACAAACACAAGGCTGACATACAAAGTATTAATAGTTTGAAAGAGCAATACATGATAGAACCTCTGTATGAAAGTAATGAGATATTGAAGAGGAATATTATTATTAGTGAAATAGTTCGTGAAATAGCCAAAATGAAAAAAAAGGAAAAGCACGTAGAATAGACATGCTACCCAACGAAGTGTACAAAGGTAATAATGCTACTAAAGTTATGCATAAATTGGTTCAGTAATGCTTGGATTCAGGAAAGATACCCTCAGTATGGCGGAAGGACAGTAAATTAGATCAGAGGGTTCCTCTGAATTATAGAGGAATTAGTTTATTATATTGTTCAGCAAAAATGTACACGAGTTTTTTAAACGACAGATTAACTGAGTTTTTTTGACAACAGAAAGTTTCTAGTAGATGAGCAGAATGGTTTTCGCAGGGATAGGTCTTGTCAAGATCACATATTTGCCTTGGATTCTATCATAAGGAATAGACTTAATGTTGCATTATCAACCTTTTGTGCTTTCATAGACTTTCATAAAGCATTTCATTGCATCGACAGAGATTATTTAATGTGCAAATTATTGAGATCTGGTATTGATGGTAAAGTATACTGGGCTATTAGAAACATATATACATTTGCATGTACAGTAGCTTGTGAAATGGTAGGAGACATGCAGATGATGTGGTATTTATTGCTCCTACCGGGAAAAACGTTCAAGCTATGTTTGATAAGCTAAGTGAGTGAGCCTATAAATGGAGTTTATTTGTTAACCAAAAGAAAACAAAAATCGTACATTTCAGAAAACCAGGGGTTGAAAGGAGTAACTTTCAATTTAACTGAGATGGAGTGCTACTTGATTATGAAAAGTCTTATAAATATCTTGGAGTTACCTTAGCAGATACATTTAATTATAGTACAAATGCAGATGTGATGTCTCATGCTGCAGGTAGGGCACTGGGTTCCATAATAGCTAAGTATAAACATCAAGGATATATGGGGTATTCCATATACACAAAGCTTTTTTATTCTTGTGTTAGTCCCATTCTAGAATATGCAGCAGGTGTTTGGGGGATGTAATGACTATAAGCAGCTAGATAAAATTTCTTTTTAGAGCCTCCAGGGTATTTTGGGGTGCACAGATTTACTCTTCTTCTGGCCATAGAAGGAGATATAGGTTGGATGAATACTAAGTATAAAAGATGGTTGCACCTTATAAGATTGTGGAACAGACTTGAAAACAAATGTTGCTTAGAGATTATGACTTGGCAAAAGAGGGTAACATTAATTGGTGTGCTCAGGCCTCTCAAGTTTTAACTGTTTGTGAAATGGAGTATTTGTTTAATGATTTAGTTTCTTGTGATGTTGGCGTTATAAAGAATATATTATTTAAACTGCAAGAGAGAGTATAGAAGGAAGCCGTGTTCAAAATCCCAGTTGGGTCTATAGAAAACTTAAAGAAAACTTAGTAGTGGGAAATTATGTTAAGTATAATTTAAAAGCTGCAGAAAGATCTATCATGGCCCAGTTCAGATCAGGATCCATTTTATGTAGAAATAGGCCGCTTTGTTGACAAAAAATTAGATCGACTCTGTATTTCTGTAACGATAAAAAAGTAGAAGAAGAGTATCATGTTTTATTTGATTGTCCAATTTAAAAAAAAATTCAGGAAAAATGGTGTGACAAAGTAAAAGTGGGCGATCTTATCTTTCATGACCTGGAGGAGGTTAAGGAGAGACCTCAAGTGCTTTTTACAGACTTTCATAGAAGCACAGCGAGGTTTTTCTTTAACTGCTTCCAGGTCAGAAAGAAGTTGCTATATAATCAATGTTTAAAAACCGGTGACTTTGTAAGCCCATAGGGTTGGGCCGTTACATATATATTCACATTATTGTTTTATGTATTATGTTTGTATATATTCGGCATTGTCACGAAAATAAATCAGTTTAACATGTAGAAAATATTTAAAACGGAATCAAATGAGTTAAAGGATAGGGAGTTTTTGAACCTATGTTAAATTTCTTTAAGAGCCAACAAGTGTAGAATTTGGTTTCGTGGTAGAAAAATAGAACATGTCAAAGTAAAAGTAAATGCATGGTCAGCACGGATAAATATAGTTTAAACATTTGTGAAATTGTATGAAAAGAGGGTCGGTGAATAAACGTTCGAAAGCTCCAGAACGTCGTCCAACCTCACTATAACAGTATATTCATGAGCATTCTGTTGTGTACAGTGGTCGGAATAATTTTGTTTCCGTTGTACACCGGTGTAACCACGTTCGAAATGTTTTAATCCCTATCTTGTGAATAGAAGGGGGCGGACAAACAATGGAGGGCCGTATAAATCCCTTCAAAATTCGAACGCACAAACACAANACGAAGCTGTTGAACAAAAGGATAGTTCGCTACGGGAGACCGTTTGTTTACATAAGTACTCTAAGGGGGCGTGGCTACCCAGGCGACCAAGGGATTAGGCTAGTTACTATATGCCGTCAACAATCGTTTAGCGACCCAATCATTATACACTCTCTCTATTGTATTTTCCACCGCATTAATCGCAGTGTAATCTTCAAATGGTCCACGGGGTAAATGTACACATTCTTAATCCGAGTACGGTACATTAGAAATTAAAGAAATTAAAGCACATATTGAGGCCAGAGTATTATAATTAAATCATCATATACACATATGTACAAAATAATTGTTGTTGCGGACTTCTTAATGTTTTGTTTTCCTTTTAATTCCGGGCAGGAAATTATACAATAAAGAAGGTTATCAATGCAAGTATCCTTTCACTTACTCTGAAATTGATGTACTTTAAACCATAGAAATTACCTGAAATAGTGAAACCTATCGCTTTTCTGCTCACGCTGTGTTAATGTGAATTTTGGGAAAAATACTGGTATTTCAGATTCCATACGTGTTTATACGGCGTTTTTGAAACAGTGAATGGGAATTAAAGCCAGTAAGAACCGAAAAATTTTGTCGGCCCCTGGAATTTTTTTCACGAAAAAAAATTTACAAACGACCTAAGATTCTTTCATTCTGAAATGTTATTTTAAATAAATCATAACAGAGTCAATGTTTACTAGAGGATCAGAGAGGCGATACCGCCTCCGGATATTGTACCACCAGCTGGAGTAGGCGCATTGGTATGAAAACCCCCCAAAAAGGGATCACCACTACCAGTCTTCTGCTTGACAAGCTCTATAAAAAGCAAACAGCAAAAGTTCTCAAAATATGCAAAAAATATATATCTAAAAATGGTACAATCAAGCAGATTTTCGAATTGGCCTGCATTTTCCTAACACTGATCACTCTTGTGATTCTCTAGACAAAAGGCCCTTTGGTTTTCCTTAAAATGTGTCGTCAGTGGTGCATATATGCTGACAAAAGAGAAAACCTAGGGGCAACACCGGGCACATCTCTGCTAGTTTTGAAGATATGAGGGGCAAGAAAGTATGCAAAGCTCAGTTCACGGAGAAGAAACGGGTCAAAGGTCAATTTTAATATCACAGTAGATGAATTTCTATTCAAGTCCAATAGTATCCATGGGCATTTCTTTGCCAATTTTGGAGATTTAAAGGCCAGAAAACATGCAAAAAGCAGTTCATTAAAAAAAGTAGGTCAAATGTCAATTTGAAGGTCGCAGTTAGATTGCCAGTGTATGACCTCCTATTCAAGTTCAACAACAACTTTAGGGGTATCTCTGGCGGTTTTAGGAAATTTGCAAAGATCAGTTCATGCTGAAAATTGGGTCAAAGGTTAATTTCAGGGTCACAGTTAGATTGCCAGTATATCACTTCCTATTCATGTTTATTACTTACTATGGGCGTATCTTTGCCAGTTTTTTTGTGATATTAAGATCAGAAAACTTGCAAAGTGCAATTTATCATGAAAAGTAGGTCAAAAGTCAATTTCAAGGTCACAGATTACCAGTTTATGATTTCTTCTTCAATAGTTACTAGTTACTCTGCCAGTTCTAGGGACAAAAGGGAAGGAAAATTTGTAAAGTTCAGTTCATTGTGAAAATAAGGTCAAAGGTCAATTTTGAGCTCAAAGTTAGATTGCCATTATAGGACTTCCTATTCAGGTTTAATAGTAACTATGTGCATATCTTTGCCTATTTTGGAGAAAGATCAGAAAATTTGCAAAGAGCAGTTTATCATGAAAAAAAAAGTCAAAAGTCAATTTTAAAGTCACAGTAGGCCCGGTCACACTGCGCTTCCGACCTTTTTGCAACCTTTTTGCAACCACAAAATCTGGCGGTCGCTTGCGATCACTTTGCAAGCTAATTAAGAAGCTATGGTCAATTTTGATCGGCAAGCAGTCGCAAACCGGTTGCAACAAGGTTGCAGTATGGTATCTGCAACCTCTTATAGACCATCTTCAAGTTATAGGTTACCAGTCGCACACTGTTTGCCGAGCGATAAACAACCTGTCTGCAACCACTTGGTGACCGAAAACAGGTTGCAGGACTGTAGCAATCGCTTGTCAACTGGTAGCAGCAAGATCGCACAGAATATACATGAATATACTTGTGACAGTAGCTGCTTTCCCATCAATTCCCCTCTCAAAATACAAAAATGCTCTAGTAAAACGACTCCTTTTCAAAAAGAGGGGACTGCTATAATAATTGACTTTGCTTACCTAAGAAGTAAAAAGAGTAAAAAAAAAACTCGAAAATAAAAACATAAACTTGCATACGTTTAAATCCTTATTAATCTCATAATGCTCTTTAATATTTTCTTGGTCAAATACTTGGTCTCTTTGAGGTCGCAAGGCCTGTGCAGTTACGGTCACCCTGAACAAAATACCTCTTTGCGACTTGCAACTGTCACCGGTTGCAAAAAGGTCGGCAACCGGTTGCAACGACTGCTTTCCAACTGATTTGCAACCGAATGTGGGGTTTTCCCTTTGTATTTCTAACCCTAGGCGTTTGCCACTTACAATACAACGTAATTAAATCGTGACAAGCCATGCGCATCGTGTACTTTTTACACTCTCATCCTTGTAGTGAGGGTACCAAGCACTGGGAAGATGTTAAATTGTTTGTGTTGAAACTATTTTTATTAAAATCTATTGGACACATTTAACGATTTGTTCAATTATTTGTGGATAATTTTGATTGATTAATTATGATATGAAATAGCAGTTATACCTTGCTCATTAAATTGTTTTTATTTTCCGTTTTCTCTGCATTCTTGTATTTGTTTCATTGTTTACTCTGATAATATGGCTTCGCAAATTTTAAATAACATACAGCAATATATAATTGAGGTTTTCGGCATTTTACCTATGATTTTAGCAAAATGATATAATAAATAAACGTAGAGTCAAAAAATCGTGCATTGCTTTTAGCATTACTTTTTTTTTTTTTTTTTTTTTGGTTTCGTACAAGTGTGAAATACCTGGTTTGTGAAAGCCTTGGCAATTGATATTAAATAATGCCAACAAATGCATTTTATGTTTTCTTTTTCTAAAAATATTATGATTCATGACCTTGATGTTTAGAAGATTTACATAACAAATTATGAAAAAAGTCTTTGCCCAAATAGACCACCATCCTACGCCTATTTTATTGCAGTCGCTTGCAACCTTCCTGCGACATATTTTCGAACGCCTGCGATCGGTAAAAAACCTGTAAGCGACCAAGAGACTAAAGACCGTCAATCGACCATGCAGTTACAACTGCAACCTTCTAGCGACCTGCTGCTGACTACTTGCGACTGGTAAAAAACGTGTAAGCGACCAGTCGCCTAAATACTGTCAATCGACCGTGTAGTTGCAAATGGTATTATACTGGTTATAGCAACCTACTGACAACCAAGGAAAGACCGATAGGCAACCTTAAGAATACCAATAATTTTCATCTTCAGTCGCACTGGTTGTCGGTGCACAAAAAACGGCCTTCATGTGTCAACGATCGCAGGCGACCTGTTACCAACCTTATGTGCCCATTTTAAAACCTATGGCAACCTCCTTGCGACTGAGGTTGCAAAGAGGGTGCCAAAAGGTTGCAAGCGCAGTGTGACCCAGGCTTAAGATGACCAACATATGACTTCCTATTCAACTTCAATAGTATCTATGGACCTATCTCTGCCAATTTTGGAGTTAAAAGGGAAAGAAATTAGCAGTTTTGGAGATGTAAGAGACTTGAATGTTGCAAAGTTCAGTTCATGGTGAAAAATAGGTCAAAGGTCAATTTCAAGGTCATATTTAAATTGCCAGCATATGACTTCCTATTCAACTTGAATAGTAACTATGGACCTATCTCTGCCAGTTTAGAGATATAAGGGACTAAATGCTACAATTTTGGAGTTACAATAATGTGCCATAAATTTCCTACAGAAGAAATTAACTGAAATAAAGAAAAGGTCATTTAGGCCAAAATTCTTGAAATGGGAGGTGATCAGAAGTTCCAGATGTTCAAATTTCATGAAATAATGTCATTTATGACCAGAAGTTGTCTCGCCAAGCCTTATGTTATCTTTTCCAGAGGTTCAAAATTTATTACATATTACCGTGTTGCACATTTTGCTTTTACCACAATGTACTTTTTGATATAACTTGTAAACCGTATGGAAATAAAAAAAAATGGAGACCACTTTCAGTGTTGAGCTTGACATGCTCTACAAAATGCAAAAAGAATAGGTCTCTAGCATTAAAGGTTCCCAAATTAGAGACAGTTTTCAGTTTCGGTATCTTATGGCCGCTTTTCCCGTGAAAATGCACCGATTGACCCCAAACTCACGGAGATGAAAGATGAACTTTTTTTTTCGTAAAAAAATTCATTTTTTTGAAATTTTTGGCCCGTTTGACCTTGAAATAAAGGTCAAAGGTCAAATCCAAGGTCATATTTGAAATCTCCACATATGACTTTCGGTCAGCCGTCTGTAGAAATTTTTCCCATAATTCCTGCACCTAATTTTGCCAATTTTGGGTGCATTGCAATTAGCGCCACTTAGACCCCAGCACTGATGAAGCCCAAATTTTACATGGGACGAGTTGAGATTATAGGTGACCTAAACCCAAGAGATGGGTACGCAGGCCTTTGTAGTCTAGGAGGAGAAGCGGTAACGGTGACAAGGCGGCGGAGCCGGCGGAACAGGGTCGGGACTAAAACCATGTGTACCGCCAGCGCCTACGCT